AAGAAATAAAAATTAAAAAAAAAAACAAATTGGTACAGCTCACAAATTACAAAGGGCTTTATTTCGGTAAAATGTTTGGAAAAGATCATGATGCCATTTCCGACCTTAGGTCTACGGTTGGGACCGGGAAAGAAATGAGGATGCACCAGAAATTCCACTCCAAAATTTATGATGAAGCTAAATAAATATCGAAATTAAATTTATAAACAATTGTTCGACTTCTTCCATTCCAGATTTAATCCATATTTTTAAAACACTCACACACTTGCTGGTGCCCACATGCACATGCGCACGCCCATGCGCGCGTAATCACACACACACACACACACATATATATATATATATATATATATATATATATATATATATATATATGTAGACACTGAAAACAGACTGTTGCCATTAGGTGTTGACCACAGCATCCACTTTTATATTTACATATGGTCTATCCCTTATATCGAGAAATATTACACAATATATAACACAATTTAAAACTATATTTCCATCTTTATACATGCACATTTCATTGAATACGACAGACAAGGTCCTTTGATTTAATTTTTTATACAATTTCTCATGTGGTCTTATCATTTTTTTTCTTTTCGGTAGAAAAATTATATAAAAACTATCAAACTGTTTTTTTTTTAACATTTAGAGATTTTCAAGATTGAAATATATTAACTGTTAATTTATCTATGTATTTATATAATGTTTTCATTTTCAAAACACGATCAAGATATTGTGTCCATGTTCACATTTGATATTATTCAGTGTTGTTTGTTTGTTTTTATTAATAAGGCTTCCAATATTTTTAGCATTTTTTTACATGTAGACGATGCTATTTTATTATTATTTTGTAAAAGAAAAATTGGACAGTTTTTTATATAATTTATCTATCGAAAAGAAAAATAATATCACATGAGAAATTGTATAAAAAACTAAATTAATGCAACTTGTCTGTCGTATTCAATAAAACGTGCATGAAAGAAGGATTGCTGCCTAAATACAGAAATATATAGATTAGGTAACTATACATAAGGTTAACTTGCTTTTTGTCAAAATTTAATAAAATTCTCTCTCATGTAGATGACAGTGGAATGGATTTTAGCAGCAGATGATGAAAACGGCCATTTAAAGGCATTTTAACACTGCGCGCCTCGATTGAAACACATAGAGTTACTTTCTTTGATATAAAGGGCTTACAACACTTGAAATCGTTTTTTTTTTAGTTAATATGAAAGTATTCAATTCTATGTCCGACTAAAAATCTGACGGAAATTAGAATGGACACCATGGATTTAAACTATTTTAGAAAGAAAGAAAGAAAGAAAGAAAGAGAGGAAGAAAGAAAGAAAGAACAAACAAACAAGCAAACAAAAGACACGAATATATAGAAGGAAAATTGAAATATTGAACATCGAACAAGATAGGGACGGAGGAAGGAAGGAAGGAAGGAAGGAAGGAAGGAAGGAAGGAAGGAAGGAAGGAAGGAAGGAAGGAAAAACGAATAAAAAATAAGAGAAAAGACAACAAAGGAAAATGAGAGAAAAAAGAAAATATAAAATAAAATGTAGAAATGCGAACGGTGAAGAAAGAAAGAAAGGCAAAAAGAAATAATAAAGAAAGGAAGAAAAGAAGGGAGGAAAGAAAGAGGAAACATTAGAAATAAGGAACGAAAGAGAGAAGGTAGGGAAAAGGATAGAAAGAAAGAAAGAAAGAAAGAAAGAAAGAAAGAAAGAAAGAAAGAAAGAAAGAAAGAAAGAAAGGTAGGGATTTGAAGAAAGAAAGAAAGAAAGAAAGAAAGAAAGAAAGAAAGAAAGAAAGAAAGAAAGAAAGGTAGGGATTTGAAGAAAGAAAGAAAGAAAGAAAGAAAGAAAGAAAGAAAGAAAGAAAGAAAGGTAGGGATTTGAAGAAAGAAAGAAAGAAAGAAAGAAAGAAAGAAAGAAAGAAAGAAAGAAGAGAGACGAATGGATAGAAGGAAAAAAAGGAAATAATCAAAATAAAAATAAAAAAAAAGACGGAGAGGAAAGAAACAAAAAACAAATAAAAAAATACGAGAAAAGATATAAGGAAAAAGAAATGTAAAATCAAAAAAGTAAATATAAAATAGAATATAAAAATGCGAACGGAGAAGAAAGAAAAAAAAGAAAGAATGAATAAATGAAAGAAAGAAAAAGAAAGTAAGAAAATTTAATAAAATTCTCTCCCATCTAGATCAGCATATCACAAGTAACCAATATATAATTTGGGTCGAACGTGGGTTCAGGTGCTATGACAGTGGAATGGATTTTAGCAGCACATGACGAAAATGGCCATTTAAAGGCATTTTAACACTGCGCGCCTCGATTGAAACACATAGAGTTACTTTCTTTTGTATAAAGGGCTTACAAGACTTGAAATCGTTTTTTTTTTGTTTTGTTTTGTTTTTTTTTAGTTGAAATGAAAGTATTCAATTCTCTGTCGGACTAAAAATCTGACGGAAATTAGAATGGGCGCCATGGATTTAAACGATAAATCTCCGGCGTAAACATTTAAATATGGCACGTTTCTCAGTAAGATGATAGGTTAATCTTCTTGGAAGGGATATTATGATATGGCCAATACACGCATTTTTTTTTTTAAATAATCGACAATTACATTTCTAGTGCGCTTTCCGTAGAGTAATGGTTAACGAGCTACTCTCTAATGGAATGCTATTCAATGAAATAATTTTCTTTCAGTGCACCATGAGACTATCCCTATGCTAGACTAGAATCATTTGCTAAATATTTCTATTTGTGAGTATCTATAACGTATGACGAAGAAAATATCAAAGATCTTAATGTTTACTGATGGAGTAAGTAAAAAATGGAAGGAGGAAGAAAACAAAGAGGGGGTGAAGGAAAAAAGAACGAAAGAAGGGGAGAAAGAAATAATAAAAGAAAGAAGGAAAGAAGGAAGGAACGCAAGAGGAAAAGTTAGGAATAAGGAAGGAAATAGAGAAGGTAGGGAAAAAGATGAAGAGAAAGAAAGAAAGAAAGAAAGAAAGAAAGAAAGAAAGAAAAGAGACGAATGGATAGAAAGAAAAAGGGAAATAATGAAAATAAATAAAGACAGTGAGGAAGATAATAACAAAACGAATAAAAGAAGAAAGAAAGAAAGAAAGAATCAGTAAACGAATGAAATATAAATAGATAAGTAAAGAAAGAAAGAAAGAAAGAAAGAAAGAAAGAAAAAGAAGGAAATAATATTACCAAGAAGGATAAGAAAGAAAATAAGCTTTAAAAAAAGAAAGAATCTGACGGAAGAAGGAAAAAGAAAGAACTATATTAAAAAGAAATACTTTCATGAAGAAAGAAAGAAAGAAAGAAAGAAAGAAAGAAAACGAATGTATAGAAGGAAAAGGGGAAATAGTGAAAAAGGAAGAAAGGAAGAAATGAATGAAAAAAAAGAGAAAAGACAAAAAGCGGAAAATGAGAGAAAAAAAAGAAAATATAAAATAAAATGTAGAAATGCGAACGGTGAAGAAAGAAAGAAGACATAAAAAGAAATAATAAAGGAAGGAAGAAAAGAAAAGGGGAAAGAAAGAGGAAAAATTAGAAATAAGGAATGAAAGAGAGAAGGTAGGGAAAAAATTAAGAGAAAGAAAGAAAGAAAGAAAGAAAGAAAGAAAGAAAGAAAGAAGAGAGACGAATGGATAGAAGGAAAAAAGAAAATAATGAAAATAAATAAAGACAGTGAGGAAGAAAATTAAACAAAAAGATGAATAAAAAGTGCGAGAAAAGATTTTAAAAGGAAAAGATGGCAAAAAGGAAATATAAAATAAAATGTAGAGATACGAACGGAGAAGAAAGAAAAAAGAAAGAAAGAAAGAAAGAAAGAAAGAAAGAAAGAAAAGAATGAATGAATGAAATATAAATAAAGAAATAAAGAAAGAAAGAATATTGCCAAATTGGACAAGAAAGAAAATAAATTAAAGAGAAAAAAGAAAGAATCTGACGGAAGAAGGGAAAAGAAAGAAAAATGGTAGAAAGAAAGACTTTTATGAAGAAAGAAGGAAAGAAAGAAACAAACAAACAAAAGATACGAATGTACAGAAGAAAAAGGTGAAGTAGTGAACATAAATAAAGACAGGGAAGAATGAATGAATGAATGAATGAATGAATGAAGGAAGGAAGGAAGGAAGGAAGGAAAGAAGGAAGGAAGGAAGGAAGGAAAGAAGGAAGGAAGGAAGGAAGGAAGGAAGGAAGGAAGGAAGGAAGGAAGGAATAAAAAATAAGTGAAAAGACAAAAAAAGGGAAAATGAGAGAAAACAAAAATTAAATATAAAATAAAATGTAGAAATGCGAACGGTGAAGAAAGAAAGAAAGGCAAAAAGAAATAATAAAGAAAGGAAGAAAAGAAGGGAGGAAAGAAAGAGGGAAAATTAGAGATAAGGAACGAAAGAGAGAAGGTAGGGAAAAATTAAGAGAAAGGAAAAAAAGAAGAAAAGAAAGAAAGAAAGAAAGAAAGAAAGGGAAAAAAGAAAGAAAGAAAGAAAAGAAAGAAAGGTAGGGATTTGAAGAAAGAAAAAAGAAAGAAAGAAAGAAAGAAAGAAAAGAAAGAAAAGTAAGAAAGGGGATTTGAAGAAAAGAAAGAAAGAAAGAAAGAAAGAAAGAAAGAAAGAAAGAAAGAAAGAAAGGTAGGGATTTGAAGAAAGAAAGAAAGAAAGAAAGAAAGAAAGGTAGGGATTTGAAGAAAGAAAGAAAGAAAGAAAGAAAGAAAGAAAGAAAGAAAGAAAGAAAGAAAGAAGAGAAACAAATGGTAGAAGGAAAAAGGGAAATAATGAAAATAAAGACGGGGAGGAAGGAAGTACAAAACGAATAAAAAAAAAGGAGAAAAGACAGAAAAGTAAAAAGAGAGAAACAAAGTAAATTTAAAATAAAATGTAAAAATGCGACCGGAGAAGAAAGAAGAAAAAAAAAGAAAGAAAGAAAGAAGAAAGAAATAATATAACAAAGAGGGACAAGAAAGAAATTAAATTAGAAAGAAAAAAAAGAGATAATCTGACGGAAAAAGGAAAAAGAAAGTAAAACGTTAGAAAGAAAGACTTTTATGAAGAAAGAAAGAAAGAAAGAAAGAAAGAAAGAAAGAAAGAAAGAAAGAAAGAACGAAAGAAAGAAAGATAGAAACAAACAAACAAAAGAGAGGAATGTATAGAAGGAAAAGGGGAAATACTGAAAACCAATAAATAAAGACATAAAAGAAAAAAGAGAGAAAAAAATATAAAATAAAAAGTAGAAATGTGAACGGCGAAAGAAGAAAGAAAGAAAGAAAGAAAGAAAGACAAAAAAGGAATGGATACAGGAATAAACGAAAGAATGAATTATGGAAAGAAGTAAAGAAACAAAGGAAAAAAGGAAGGAGTAAAAGAAAGAAAAGTAAGAAAAAAGGAAGGAAATGAGGAAGAAAAAAGAAGGAACGAAGAAAATTAAGAAAGAAAGAAAAAAGATACAAAGAATTAACGCAATAAGAAATGAAAGAGAAAAGGTACGAACGAAAGAACAAATAAAAATAAAAGGAAAAAAAGAAATTTGAAAGGAAAGAAAGAAATTTGAAAGGAAAGAAAGAAATTTGAAAGGAAAGAAAGAAATTTGAAAGGAAAGAAAGAAATTTGATAACGAAAGCGCAGAATCAAAGAAATAAAAATGCGAAAAATGCATAATTACTTGAAAGAAAGAGAGTTAGAAAAACACATAGACAGAGAGAGTGTGAAAGAGAGAGAGAGGGGGGACAGAGAGCGAGAGGTAGAGAGAGAGCGACACAGAGAGAAGGAAAGCAGAGACCAATGGAAGACTAAGAAAAAGCTCCGACTGGTATGAAGAAAAGAAGTAGTTGCAGGCAGATGGGCATGGGTGGGGTCAGGAGAGGCGTTGGGTGGGGACGGTTTGAGAGTGTGAAGGTGTTTAACTTCTCACTAACGCCCGACCTGATAAGATTCACTACACAGGTAAGCAGTAAGCTTCGTTAATCGTATATGATTTTTGTAACTTGGCAAAGTCCTAGATAACGTTAGATATGGATTAATTCTGAGGCAATATTAGCAAAAAAAAAAAAAAAACTACAAAAAAAAACATATATATATATATATATATATATATATATATATATATGTATATATATAAAGAAAAAACAACGATATATTACTGGGAAAGAGAGAAAGAAAAAAAAGCATTGCAGAAACATACGAGGAAAAGAAATGAAAAGCTAAGGTGTAAAAAGGGAAAAAATTGAGAAAAAATAATCAGGAATTGAGGCGATAAATACGAAGAATAAATGGGACAAAAAACTTTGAAAAAGAAAAAAATGGACGGAAAGACAAATGAAAGAAAAATGAATGAGAGAGAGAGAGTGGAGGAGAAAATATATATATATATATATATATATATATATATATATATATATATATATATATATATGTAGAGTGAGAGAGTAATATAAAGGAAATGAAAAAAAAAAAACAGGTAAGTCAAAAAATTTCAAGAACAAAAGATTAAAAGAAAAAATTAAAAGAAAATTAAAAACAAAGAGAGATAAAGCTATATATATATATATATATATATATATATATATATATATGTGTGTGTGTGTGTGTGTGTGTGTGTGTGTGAGAGAGAGAGAGAGAGAGATACAAAAGTGATAAATAGAGAATGATAAAGAGAGATAAAGAGAAAGAGAGAGATAAAGATAAAGAAAGAGAGAAGAGAAAGAGAAAGAGAGAGATACAGATAAAGAGATATAGAAAGAGATAAAGAGAGAAATATAATGAGAGAGATAAAGAGAGTAATATAATGAGAGAGAAAGAGAAAGAGAGAGATACAGATAAAGAGATATTGAAAGAGATAAATAGAGAAATATTATGAGAGAGATAAAGAGATATCAATAAAGAGAGGAAAAGAGAGAGAGAGAAAGAAATAAATAGCGAGATAAAGATAGAGAGCAAGAGATAAGTAGAGAAATATAAAGTAAGAGATAAAGAAAGCGAAAGAGAAAAGGGGTGAGATAAAGAGAGAAAATAAAGAAAGAGAGATAAAGAGAGGGGTGAAAAAAGAGAGATAAAAAAGAGAGAGATAACGATAGAGGAATAAAGAAAGAGATAGAGAGAGGAATATAAATAAAGAAAGAGATAAAGACAGAGTAAAATAGAGACAAAAAGAGAAAAATAAAGACAGATTGAGAGAGATAAAGACAGGGATAAAAAGAAAGAGATAAAGAAAGATAGAGTGAGAGGGAGAGAACTAAAGAGAGAGAAAGAGAAAAAAGTACGAGAAGAAAGAATCGATGAAGTATCAATAGAAGCAGGGTTAGGGTGCGGGATTAAAAGAACTTAGAGAGAGGAAGGTAGCAAGAGAGAGATAAAAAGAAAGAAAGTGAGAAAGAGTATAGTGTGAGAAGAAAAACGCGATAAAGGCTACGATAAAGGAGGGAAAAGGTACAATTGGCAGAAGGCGATAGAAAGAAAGAAAGAAAGAAAGAAAGAAAGAAAGAAATATAGAAAGAGACAATTTAAAAGGAAAGTAAAGGAAAAACAAATGAAAGAGTGAGAATGAAGAACAAGATGAATAATAGAAGGAGAAATTTTAAAAACGAACTATAGGACGTGATAGAAGGAAAACAAGAATGAAAACATTTCAGGAGGAGTAAAATGAAAAGACCAAGAAAGATATATATATATATATATATATATATATATATATATATATATATATATATATAGAGAGAGAGAGAGAGAGAGAGAGAGAGAGGGGAATGAAGAACGAGAGGAATAATAGAAGGAGAAATTTAAAAAAGAACTACAGGGCGTGATAGAAGGAAAAAAAAATTCAGGTGGAGTAAAATGAAAATAACAAAGATATATATATATATATATATATATATATATATATATATATATATATATATATATATATAGAGAGAGAGAGAGAGAGAGAGAGAGAGAAAAGGGGGGGAATGAAGAACAAGAACAATAATAATGGAAGGAGAAATTTAAAAAAGAACTATAGAACGTGATAGAAGGAAAAAGAATGAAAACATTTCAGGGAGGAGTAAAATGAAAATAACAAAGAATATATATATATATATATATATATATATATATATATATATATATATATATATATATATATATAGAGAGAGAGAGAGAGAGAGAAAAAAATAAAAAAAGAAAAGAATAGAAAGAAAATATAGGATGGATACCTAAGAATGAAAGAATGAAACACAAATTTCGGGAAAGAAGAAAGTAAAAACAACGAAATAAGTAAATAGATGATGAATGAATGAATAAAAGAATGAATGAAATAAAATAAGAATGAAAGAAAGAAGAAAGAAAGAAAGAATGAATTAATGAATGAAAGAATGAAAGATATAATGAATGAATGAAGGAAAGAAAAAAAGAAAGAAGGAAAGAAGACTGAATAAATGAACGAATGAGAGAATAAAAGAAAGATAGAAAGAAAGAAAGAATGAATGAATTAATGAAAAAAGGAAATGATGAAAGTAAGAATGAAAGAAAGAAAGAATGATAGACCGAAATAAACAATGAAAGAATGAATGAAAGAAAAAATGAAAGAAACAATGAATGAAAGAATGAAAGAAAGAAAGAATGAATGAATAAATGAAAGAAAGACAGAATGAGAGAAAGAGTTAAAGAAAGAATGAAAAACGAATGAATGAAAGAAAGTAATAATGAAAGAAAGAATGAATGAAAGAAGGAACGATAGATTGAAATAAAGAAAGAATTAATGAATGAATGAAAAATGAAAGAAAGAATGAATGAAATAATGAAAGATAGAATGAATGAATGAATGAAAGAAAGAAAGAAGCAAAGAATGAAAGAGAAGAAAAAGGAAGAAAGACATAGTGAAATAAATAAAGACAGTAAATTGTCAATTATTTTAGAGCAAACCATATAAAGAAAAGTAAACGAAAAATCTAAAAGAGATTAAGGAAATAGAAAAAAGAAAGAAAAAGAAAAAAAGAAGAAACACAAAAAAGAAAGAAGAAAGAAAGACACAAACAAAGAAACAAATAAAAAAGGAAAGAAAAAAGTAAGAATAAACCAATTAATGAAAAAAATGGAAACATTCTGGTAATTAGAATTAAATAAATAAATGAATAAATAAATAAATAAAAAGAGAAAGAAAGAAAAAAAGAAAGAACGGTTAATGAGATAATCGTTAATTAAATACCTAATATTAGAAATAATAATTAAAGAAAGAAAGAAATGAAAGAAGAAATAAATACAGAAAGAAAGAAAGAAAAAAAAAAAAAAAGGAAGAACTGATAAATAAAAAAAAACGGAAAGAAACCACCTGGTAATTAGAATTAAATAAATAAATAAATAAATAAATAAATAAATAAAGAAAGAAAGAAAGAAAGAAAGAAAGAAAGAAAAAAATATCTGGTTATTGAGAAAAACGGAAATAAACAATCCGGTAATTAAAGAAAGATAGAAAGAAAGAAAGAAAGAAAGAAAGAAAGAAAAAAATATCTGGTTATTGAGAAAAACGGAAATAAACAACCCGGTAATTAAAGAAAGAAAGAAAGAAAGAAAAAAATATCTGGTTATTGAGAAAAACGGAAATAAACAACCCGGTAATGAAAGAAAGAAAGAAAGAAAGAAAGAAAGAAAGAAAGAAAGAAAGAAATATCTGGTTATTGAGAAAAACGGAAATAAACAACCCGGTAATTAAAGAAAGAAAGAAAGAAAGAAAGAAAGAAAGAAAGAAAGAAAGAAAGAAAGAAAGAAAGAAAGAAAAAAATATCTGGTTATTGAGAAAAACGGAAAAAAACAACCCGGTAATTAAAGAAAGAAAGAAAGAAAGAAAGAAAAAAAGAACCGGTTAATGAGATAAACGGTAATTAACAAACTATTACTTAGAATTAAATAATTAAAGAAAGAAATTAAGAAAAGAAGAAAGAAAGAAAAAATAAAGAAAGAACGAAATAAAGAAAAAGAAGAAAAAAGGAAGAAGGAAAGAAAAAAGATAAGAGCCGAGTAATGAGAAGAAGGAAAGAAAGAACTTAATGTATAAATAAAGATAGAACTATTCAATGAGAAAAAACTGGAAGAAATAATCAAGTAATTAGAAAGAAAGAAAGAAAGAAAGAAAAAAGAAAGAAAGAAAGAAAGAAAGGAAAATCATCCCGGATAACCGAGAACGAAAGGAAATGTGTAGAAAGAAAGAAAGAAAGAAAGAAAGAAAGAAAGAAAGAAAGAAAGAAAGAAAGAAAGATAACGAGACTAGCAAGCAAAGAAATAGCAAGAAAGGACCATTTTGGTAGAAAAAGAGTTTGGCGAAATTAAGAACAAATGCAACAAAAAGAAAAAATAAAAGCAGATAAAGAGCCTTCAAGAAAGACTAGGTTCAAAGAACAGGGAAATAAATAAAACATCTCAAACCGTTTGGAAAAAAAATTCCAAAAGGCAAAAAAAAAAAAAAAAAAAGAAAATGACAATAAAAGACCGGAAAGAATGCATTGAACAAATGTGAATTAGTTGCAGGAATGGGATGGGGGCGAAAAAGGAGTCTTGCAGGATATATTGAAGAACCATCAAAAATAACTAAAACATTCAGAAGAGCCAAGAGAGAGAGCGAGAGAGAGAGAGAGAGAGAGAGAGAGAGAGAAGTAAAAGACGACGTTTCGAGAGACGAAAGCGTCCATGCTCAAAGCCTTCCAGTGTTACCATCACCTGCAAAGCTAGAGGCATTGATCCAAGAAGCGATAGGCGAACTCTTCCTCGCTATTGTTTTAATAGGCAAAGGTTAAAACTCAGTGTCATTTGGCGTCGACTGACAAAAAAACAAAAAACAAAAAGAAAAACAAGCATCGTTCGTGAAGCCAATAAATTCACTACTATTTTGCACACAGCACGTTACACAAGGAAACATAAAATCAATGTCTTCATCGTTTGCAATGTTAAATCTTTATGCATATAATAGCGCTGTCCTGGTGGTAGCGCTTGGAGTAATTTCTATCAACTAACAATCCATTTTACATCATTTCCAACTCATTTCTATTGCAAAATTCTTTGAAAACATCTACAATTACCAAAGTAAATCTAACCCTTGGTTTATCATCTATCATCTACCGTCTATCCTCACCACTAACCCAGGTTCAATATTTTTCCTAATATCTAATCAAAACCTATAAAGTTAAGGTTATTCTTTACCTAACTTCCAACCATTATACTATTCTCTATCTAACGTCTAACCCTAATTGTAAACGAAAGCTTGCAATTTACCTAACTTCTAACCACTTATAACGATAGGATTATTCTTATACTAGCAGGCTTCTCCCACTCGCTATCGCTTCGCAAAGTAAGATATATTGACAACTTGAAATCTTTGAAACAAACATTTTAAAAGAACATTTCGTTCATAAATTGGCTTGTTATATTTAAGGAAAGTTTTACAAATAGATGCCAACTTGTTGAAAGCCAAATAAAATGAAAAGTTCAAACACTTTTCTGCACGATATAAGATGATATTCCTAAACATAACTATTTTTGATGTTATAATCCAAACAATCTTCGAATAAAAGAACAGTAATGAAGGACAGTTAATTAATGAAATAAACTTTGTTTAAAATCAATATGCAAATTAGTTAAACCTGAAGAGTGATATTGACTAGAAGTAGATAATATATAATAGAAATATTGCGCATTTACCGTTTTAAATCCTACAAAATAAAGTGAACTGCATTATTTATCATCTCTCAGTTGCGTCTCTGTCTTTGGGCAGAGTGCACTCAGGGGTGATTCCGACAAAGGACAGAGTAGCAACTGAGGAAAATTATACTGAAGAGGTGCCTGGCACTGGGGGACAGCTGCCCAAAGCCTCGCCTTCTCACTGAACTAGAGAGAAAGATCGGTGCACGCACCGAGGCCAGTGCAACCGGGTGCACGCGCTCGGGCTCACCCACATTAAACCGACCTTGTGTCACAGCTTTCCGTTGCACCAAAGGGTGGGATCAGTGCGAGCACCGAGGCCAGCGCAACAGGCGGTTGCGGGGGCTGTGGCAAATTTTGTCCCTTGCTCGGGTGTACGCGCTCGGGTCCCCACTTTAAAAAGACCTTGTGTCACATCTTGTCCTCGTGGGGGAACGAATAAACACCGTATAAATTACTATAAAGTACCACTGGGGAGTTTTAATCTCATAATTCGCGGGAAAATTGAGCTCCAATTTCGCGTTTATTTATATAGGTTTTACTTAATTATGTTGAATATAAAACTATTTCTATTTTCTCATCTTTACACTATATAAATTTTATCTTATAAATTGTCCCCTGTTTGTCAGCCATGAAATAAAAACAATTGTTTCTACGGAAAATAAGGATCTGCGTACATCAAATTGTCTTTAAATTCAGTGGCAGCAGAAGAATTATCGTTGAACTTTTAAAATGTAATCTTAAACATTAATTCAATACTTAAATGCAGCGATCAATTTTGAGTTCTTCTGTAGTTTATTAATGCCTATCGCATCTACACCTCCCTAGCTATTGTAATAATGGCCAAACCAAGAGTCCTCCACGGGAGCTAGCTTAAATGCTGCTCAGTAGGGCAGCTTTTAAGCTATTTATGATAAAATGTGAACTGCAATTTTGGATACAAAAGTAAAATAAGAATTACTCTCCTTGAACCATGAAAGCAAAGATAATGACTAGTATAATATATTAATATATATTTTTAACGTCGCGTAATCTGGCAACCCTGAATCTGAGCTCAACGAAAATCGTTCCCTGCACCTAACTTTTCTAGAGCGTTTAAATAAGCTATGAATCATTCAAATCGGTGGGAGTGGGAGGAGTTTCTTGGACACACATACACGCACAAACACACATACACTGTACTTTATATATAAGATGTCGCCTACACCTAACTCTAACTTTACGGTTACTCCTTATCTAATATCTAACCCTAGCTGTGAAACTAGGGTTAACCTTTATCTAACTTCAAAACCTATCACTAACAATAGGGTTATTCTTATTTATCGTCTACCCGTAGCATCAATCATAGGTTTTCTCTTTACCTAACGTCTAACCTTAAAGATAGACTTTATCGAGCGTCTAATCCTAGAGTCAAAGCTATGGTTACTCTTTATCTAATGCTCAACTGTGCTCCGAAGCCAAGGTTACACTTTACCTAACTTTGGGCATCTTGAGGTGGTGTAATGGTTAGTAAGCTTGTTTCGCTAGAACTATTAGGAGTGAGTAGTGAGTTCGATCCTCACTGGGTGCCCCATACTTTCGGCCTTGTGTCACATCTGAGCTACGCTTGGAAAATCACTATACTTTACCTAACTTCGAAACTTATAGCTAAACGTAGGTCCTTTTTTTTTATCTCTGTTCCATCTCTATCGCTAAGAATAGGGTAACACTTTACCTAACATCTATCACTAGCAATGAAGTTATCTATTTTTTTTTTAAATTTAATTTTTTTTAAGCATTTCCCTCCAAGTAAGTCCCTAGCACGCAAGGGTTTACAGAGAGTGAGAGCAAGAATAAAGAGAATTGTTTGAGGAAAGGATGAAGAGAAGGACTGGGATCAGGATCAAGGCATCAGAAGATGTCGATTGACATTACATTTGAACATTTAAAGATTATAGCAATCAGGGAAGAAAGTAAGAGGAAGGGAGTTCCGCTGATGGGAAGTGCGAGATAAGAATGTTTTCGAATAGAAGAGATGGCTACATTTAACCGTTTAATAAAAGGATGGGACCGATATGCCAAACTAGTAGCACGCTTAAATTCATGCAGTTTGGGGTACCAGTGAAAGTAGCTCGTCAGAGGAGTTGTCATGAAAATATTTGTAGAAAAAACAGAGGGAAGCAACATCACATCTATGAGAAAGTGACTGTAAACGAGATGCCAGATGAGGACCTATGACATTGCATATCTGTCTCTGGATTTTGTCGAGAACCTCGAGATGAACAGCGGGGACATCAGACCATATATGGCAGCAGTATTCAATGCAAGGACGAATGGTTGATATGTAGATTTGAAGGATGGACTCAGGCGAGAAAAACCTTCTGGCGCGACACAGAGAACCAACTTTCCATGCGGTAGATGAAGATTCAGTGTAATTGTTCCACCTCAGGTCGGTGAAAAGTGTGAAACCAAGCAGGCGCAGGGCAAGCCCAGATGAAAACCTAGGTTTATTTTTACCTATACCTAGCTCAAGGTATTACACTTTACTCTCAATCAGACACTAGCACTTAAGCTTCGATTAGACGCACCTTCCAAAACAAGTCCTAACCCGAGGATCTATCGTCTACCATTATCACGAAACCCTGGGTTACTATTGACCTAACATCTAAACCAGTGATGCAAAACTGCGACCCGCGGGCTACATCCAGTCCGTTTGGTTTTTCTGAATGACACGCTAAATTTTATAAGGAAAATAAGGTTCCTTAAAATTTTCTTTTGTTTCGTTTTCCTTTGAACTATATTTCTTCAATTTTGGAAAATTTCGGGTGCCGTAATTTTGTCAGTGTTTTAAAACATAGACGATTGTCACTATGGAAGATCTTAAGAACAAGACTTAGAATAGAATTCTTTTCATTTTTCATTCAAAATACTCAAAATTTTAGGAATACGTTTTTCACAGCGTCTCCCACGTGACGACAACGTGACCATGTTTTAAACGGAGCGCTGATCTTATAAAACTTTCAGTTATTTGTTTGGATAAATCTTGTTCTTATGTACATCGTCTTTGTCATGTTGTATTGATAATGTTATAATTTATGAATATGTCCTGAAGATGGTTTATTAGACCGAAACGTCCGACGTTGACATATTAACATTAAAACAGCATAATTGTATATAAGGATTTTTGTTTTGTTTTTTCCGTATATATTTTTCTTCATATATATTTTTCTTCATATATATATATATATATATATTGCCGAATATATTTATATAAAAAAAAAGAAACCAAACCTCGATAAACTTTTTTAAGAATATTCCAGAAAAATTTAAAATGTGTGCAATAGATAATCTTTAAATGTTAGCGCTTGTCATTAACAGTTTTTCCTTTATCTAGCAACTACTCAAATCCGGAAATTTTCTACACCATACTTAGTTACCTCCCCTTAAACGCTGTCTGTCACTAAAGCCATGACACAGCGTTCCTGATTCCACATATAAAGATCTTTGGATTCCCACAACAAATTTTGTCTTTCACAACCATGAGCAGTAAATACTTACTCTCTATTTAACAATAATCTGATGATGACATTATGCTATATCGAAAGTACTCGGAAATAAATACAATATAAGCCAACACGGTTTTTTCCTCTCATCTTTTGATAACCGCACAGAAAAGCTTATCCGCGAATATGAAGGATCCTATCGAGAATAAGTGGACAGAACATGTCTAAATAATTTAACCATTTGCAATACATTTTTCAAAGTAAACGTTTATCTCTTATACGTATCGTTGGCAACTGTGCAAAAATAGACTTAGATTAGCAGGGCCAATGAGAACCCCTTCGTATGGAAGATGAATAAACAGAAAGGAGTTTTATGGACAAAAAAGCATAAGAACTGAACATTTAAACAATAGCAACATATACTTTATGCAGACAAGTCCGAATTTGAATTTTAGTAGTAAGAGGATTGTATGAATGTATAGTTCCAAAAGTTAAGCAATGGTCGTGGGGCT